CAGTGAGTCTGGAGTTTCAGATGATTGATGGGTGTCCACTCGGGTGAACTGCTAATCCGTCCACAAGAGGGAGAAGAGAAATCAAGGATCCCGAGAAGGGTCAACTCTTGAGGGTTCAATGAATACTTTTTAAGTGCTGAATACAAAGCTGGTGATTCGGAATATAAACCCCCATTCAATTCACAATTTAAAGTTATTACGAAACATATATTAAGATGATACAGCTAATGATTTTTGTTTTAATTGGGAAAAATTCTATCTTGGGCAACCATTGTCACCTAATATACAATTAATGGCAACTATAGCTTTAGATAAGTGAAGAATGTGGTATCAGGATCGAGGGAAGACATTAACCTGCAATATGCAGATGACACACTTTGCTTGCTAAAAGAGATACTTGCATTTGCTGAAGATCAAGGGTTGCAGCCTTCAACATGGCTTACAAACGTAAAGAAGACAGGGATCCTCTTCAGTGGACAAATAGGTAACACCATGGTAAGCAGGGGAAAGACTGAAATGGTCAAGGATTTCATCTTGCTAGGATCCACAATGTTCATGGAAACAGCAGTCAAGAGATCAAATGGTGCATTGCATTGGGTAAATATGCTGCCCAAGACCTCTTTAGAATGTTGAAAAGCAGCGGATTCCGGGAACCCAAGAGGCAAGCGAATTTTGGGAATAATTAGGGCTACAAATGTATAGATGTGCTTTACACAATTGATCTATGTATTGTGATGAATTGTATGAGCCCCAATAAATTGATTAAAAAAAAAAAGAAAAGAAAAAAAAGAATGTTGAAAAGCAAGGATTTGTCTTTGAGGCCTAAGGTGTGCCTGATCCAAGCCATGGTATTTTCCATCACCTCATAAGCATGTGAAAGTTGGGCATTGAATAAAGGAGACCGAAGAATTGATGCATATGAATTATGGTGCTGGTGAAGAATATTGAAAATACCATGGAATACCAAAAGAGCAAACATCTGTCTAGGCCATACAGTCAGAGTGCTCCTTAGAAGCAAAGATGGCAAGACTTTGTTTCACATGCTTTGGGCATGTTGTCAACAGAGACCAGTCCCTGGTGAAGGTCATCATGCTTGCTAAAGCAGAGGGGCAGGGAAAAAGAAGGCCTCTGTGAACAAGTGGCTACAATGATGGACTCAAACATAAGAACAACTGTGAGGATGCAGCAAGACCAGGGCCAGGAAGGGTTGCTTTGTTGTACATAAGAATGTGGAGCTGAGTCAATTCTCTGGATCCTAAGATCAGTTTTAAACAGAATTTCAACTTCCTAGTTTTACTAGTAGGTGAATGATCAGACTTATCTATGAAGTTAATTTATTTTAAAAGCTTTTAACTAGAAGCCTTTTTGAAAGAAACCCTTAACCTGAGGATGCACCTATCCTGCTTTTCTCCAACCAAACAGGGAAACAGAGTCCAAGTTTATAGAACTGAAACCATTACAAACCCTTCCTATTCTAGCTTGAGACATAGGAAGGGTGCTTCAAAAAATTCATGGAAAATTTCCATTAATTTTTCATACCATTTTCCCAGGAACTCTTTGAAGCACCTCCAGTTTTCAGACAGATGAATTGTGGAAGGCGTGTCTTAGAAGACACTCGCCAGTGAATATCCATCAGCCCGAAGAAAAATAGGGGGTTTCATGATAGAAAACATGATTTATATTCAAATTTTTAAAAACAAACATTTTTCAGTTACTCTGGTTTGGAGTTTGGAAGACATGAAGATTAGAGGGAGAAAAAAACTTCTCAAATCAGATCCAAGAAAAAGTTTTTTGAAGAGCTTTAGTGTATGTATGATAAGCTTTAGGGTATGTATGAAAGGCTAATGACAGTAAAACCTGCAAACACCTGAGCCTGTATAAGGCAGATACCTGCCAGGAAGGAAAATTCAAGTTTTTCCCACTGAGAGCAAGCTACAGCTAAGTGGGAAGGCTGTAGACCAGGGCAAAAATCTTGATAGCTGCTACAAGCTACCTGCAAGTCCTAGAGCCAAGGCACTCCCCGGGGATTTGTGCTGTCTCCAGGTTCACTGTATTATAAGAGAAATGGCCAATTTTATCATTCTCTGGGCCTGAAGTTAGTTGAAACCCGAGACAAATGCTATATATTTAGGGGAAGAAATGTTGCCCACTAAATGTGCAGAACAGAATCAAAGTTCAAGAAACAAGCACCTGGGACAATTCTTAAGCACCGCCCCTGCCTCATCCCACTCTGAACACTGGTGGTCCAGCTAGTATCTGCTATTCAGAGATGACACATGGAGAGGATACAAGTCTATTAGCAGCTGAAATGGGGCATGTCACCAAGTCTGGCGATGACACGAAGGGAGGGGAGTCAAGCTCAGGAGGGGCCTGGATGGAAATCCCAAGAGCACTGATGGCCATGAATAAAGGAATTTGTGTTGTTGCTTTTTCCCCTTTCTTCTTTTTCCAGGGCAGAAGTGTAAAATCAAAACAAGGCACTATTTCTTTGGGCCACCACTTGTCAGTGTGTCATACTATGGTAGCTTGGGGGGTTGCAGTGATGCGGGAAGCTATGTCCCTGGTGTTTAAGATGCCAGCAGGGTAACCCAGCTCAAACCATTTCAGTAGGGTTTCTAGGCTAAAAACAGACCATTTCTGATTAATTGTTAAAACCTTATCAATAGCAGGGAAGCACTGCCAGAAAGAGTGCAGGAAGTGTGAGCCCCTCAATTAGAAGGCACTCAAAATACAACTGAGAAAGCAATGCATCCTCACAATAGAGTCAACTCTAATGAGAGGATCGTGAACTCCAGGCCCTTCTTTTGCTGATGGGGAAATTTAAATGAGAACAGCCGCTCCGATCCATTACTCATTAGGATGTGGGATGTGTAAAGGACGAATATAGGAAAACTGGAAGTTGTCAAAAATGAAACAAAACACAAAGATTGACATGCTAACCATCACTGAGCTGAAATGGGGTGCTGTTGGCCACTTCGAGTCAGACCACCAGAAATGACAAATTCTAGAGGAATGACGTCACATTCACCATCAAAAACTTTTTTCCAAGATCTTGGAGTACAACGCTGTCTGCAATATCTATATGCCGCCAAAAAAGATGGGTTAAAATAAATATTCAAATCTACTCACCAACTATGAAAACTAGTGATGAAGAAACATGAAATCTACCAACTTCTTCAGTCAGAAATTGGGCAAACGTACAATCAAGGTATATTGATAATTATTGATCATTGAAATGAAAAATGTGGAAACAAAGAGGAAGGAATATTAGTTGGAAAAACATGACCTTGGTGACAGAAATGGAATGGAAATCACTTGAATTTTGCAAGACCAGTGACTGTAAACAAACTATTTGTGGGAAGTGATGACGAAGCAGCTCAGTATCAGGAGCGGTCGAGTGTGGAGCAGACTCGTCAACTGTGCATATGGAAGCTCAGATTGAATGATGAGTGGACAGATGACATCAAGAGGATCATACATAAGATGACAAGGTCATTAAAAAAAAGGAAACAATACGAGTCACTGTTTGATATTCAACCATTTCAGAAGGTAGAGTATCATCAAAAACGGGAGAAATTCACGCTGCACTGCAGACACCAGTGAAAAACCAGGCTCCAGGAATTGACAGACACCAACGGAAACGTTTCCACGAGCTGATGAAGCACCGGAACACTCATTCACCTCTGCCCAGAACTTGGAGGGCAGCTACTTGGCCAACCCGATGGAAGAGCTCCCACAGAGTAGGAAACTTTGGAACAGCATCACTAATATCATATCCAAGTGTTTCTACCGAAGTTAATCTTAAAAGTTGCAATGATACATCCGCAGGGAGCTGACAAAAACTGTAATCGGATTCAGAAGAGAATGTGGCACAAGGGATATCTTTGCTGACATCAGAAAGGGTCTTGGCTGAAAGCAGAGAATATCGGAACCTTTGTGTTCTATTGACTATAGAAAGGCATTCAACCGTGTAGATCATAACTGTGGACAACATTTGACGAAAATTTGAGAACGCTTCACTGTGCTCACGTAGAACCTGAACATGGATCAAGTGCAATTGTCTGAATAGAACAAGAGGGAAATACTGCATTGTTTAAAATCAGTGTATCGAGACTGTATCCTCTCATATTTATTCAATCTGTATGCTGAATAAATAATCCAAGAAGTTGGACTACATATGAAGAATGCGGCATCAGGATTGGAGGAAGGCTTATTAACAACTTGTAATATGCAGATAACAAACTTGAAGCATTTTGCTGAGGAAGATCCTAGACTGCAACCTTCAATATGAAGTACAACTCAATGTAAAAACAAAAATCAAATCCTTACACCTGGACCGACACGTAGCATCATGATAAATGGAGAAAAGGTTGAAGATGTCAAGGATTTTAATCTACTTGGATCCATAATCAACGCTCATGGGAGCAGCAGTCAAGGAATCAAGCAGCATATTACACTGGGCAAATCTGTCGCAAAAGAGCTCTTTAAAGTATTCAAGAGCAAGGACGTCACTCTGAGGACTAAGGTGGGCCTGGCTAAAGCCATGGTATTTTTCAATCGCCTCATATGCATGTGAAAGTTGGACAATGAATAAGGAAGGCTAGAGAACTGAATTATGATGCTGCTAAATGATAATGAAAGTAGCGTGGACTGTCCAAAAAACCAACAAATGTCTTGGAAGAAGTAGAGCTAAAACACTCCACAGTGAAGATGGCAACTCTCTCGTTTACTTTGGACATGGTACCAGGAGAGCCTAGTCCCTGAAGGACATTGTACTTGATAAAGCAGAAGATAACAAAACAGATGAAGACCCTTAACGAGATGGACTGACCCACGGGCTCAATCCTAACCTTGGTGCGGATGGTGTAGGGCCGAGCGGTGGTTTGTTCTGTTGTATATAGGGTTACTGTGAGTCGGAACTGATTCGACAGCACCTGACAACAGTGGGAGCCCTCTTCAGAAAGGGTTCATATTTGAATTTTCCATCTGAATGCTTAACAAAACTTTGATATATTTTTTACTATATTAACATCAGTATCAACTCATCCAAGATGAACATAACAAAAACAATGGCGCTCTTCTAGCTGAAGCTGTTATTAAAAAATTCAAAATGATACAGGAAACTTCAAGTCTGAAAACAGGTGCTAATTTTCCAATTGTAGTCATTTCAGTGTCTTCCATTAAATTGCTTCTTGAAATAATAATTTTTGTTGTTGTTGTTTTAATATATCAAAGAGATTCTCTTTCCAACAGTTCGTGGAATTAAATCCATTCCAAGTCCATTCTTAGGGTATCTAGTGAGCATTACGATTCTGCCTTCTTGTTTTCTAGAAATCCATCAGATCTTTGTTCCAATGTAAAAGTGCTTCCAGTCATTGTCGTCGTAGCAAACAGCATTTCCATCATCCCCAAGGTTTCCAGCAGTTCTCTTTGGTAATCAATCTCTTTTTCTACAAGTCCCTGAAGTAACAAAAATTTCTTATCCACTATAGGTGACTGGCCAATCACAGGCAGATATATATCTGAAAAGAGAAAAAATGTATTCACTAGAAACAGCTTCTACACAGTAAGTTATAAGTACTTGGAAAAGTACAAACGTTATACATAAATGTGGAAGAGTCTATTTTACAATCAATTTTCAATTTGCATGAAATAGCAATCACTTGAATATTTCAAAAATTACTCAAAGTACAGAGGAGAAGTTTTGACTTTACTTTCTTAATTAAAAATTCTTGGGATCATATTTATAAAACTTTAAAATATGTAGAATATCCCTGGTCCCACCAATTCAAAGTGCCACTACTACAACCAAATTGCTGTATTTCAAGCTGTACACGGTCTGCTTACATTGTTTAACGTCACTACTTCTGTAAGCATAGCCATATTTACAAGTTTCAGCTACTTACCAATGATTAGTTCAGCAACGTTTATCAAGACAGGAGCAAATCTTGGCTGAGATAGATTCCTACAAAGAAAAAAAATCTGCATATTGAAACTTGCAAATATTTTTGAAAATCCGTAGAATAGATTTTCTTACTCTAGTCCACCTGCTCTCTACAGAGATCAAACTACACAATGTTCCTCCTTTGCCAGTAACAGCTTTCAGATGCAAACCAGCGTGTTTCACAAACCTTATCAAAAAATTCAGCACGCGGCTGAGTTCCTTCTCATCCCGGCCTGCAAGGGCGTTTGCCAGGACTCCTCTTCGGCCTAACTCCTTTATGATGGAAACTGTAATCTCTGGTGTCTTTATTGTAATTTCTGGCTTTAAAATGTAAAAATAAGTAAATAAATAACATGTACAAACAAGACAGCAGAAGAAAATTAGCTTCAGAATTCCCAAAAAAGCGCCAAGTTTGAACATGGGTTTGTCTGCCCCGAATCACGGTAATGTGGTTGACAACCGAGTCTTTTAAAAAAAACCACGCTCCTCACCTACCTCTAGGACTCTGTCGAGCGCCTTTGAGATGCGGAAATTTTTCAGATCCCTGTCATACAATTCCAGGTGTTTTTTGGATGGTCTATTGACTGAAATGTCATCCTGTAGTCAAAAAAATTTAGAGATGAGTCACTATCTGCATCCCGTTGCTGTCAATAGGAACGTTGGCACAGTGGGACTTTTAGAAAGCAGGTGGCCCTGAAGTACATCCTAACTCACGTTCTTCTGTCCACCATAAGGACCCCGTGAGAGCAGAAAGGAGCAAGCACACCAGTGTTTGACTCACAGCACACAGAGCAACTCACGTCTGCGCCAACCCCTCCCCTGCCGCCTCTGCGACCTGACGGGG